GAGGGGAGGCGAGAGGGAGGGAGGGAGGTGAGGGAAATTGAGTGATAAATTAGGGTTATGTTTTATTATATAGTACCTGATTTTTGAATGATAAAATTTAGTCCCTGATTTTTGAATTCCAAATTTTAAGTAGCTGAGTTTTTATAATTTCCCCCTACCTAAATTATAACCCAGCCCGATGGTGCTAAAACCGAAATTATAACCCGGTCCATCTAAACCCGCAACAACGATCCAAACCCAAACCCAGATCAACAGTAATCCAAGAAGCTACACTAAAACTCAGCCCAAAGTCTACCCAAATCCAAACTAATACCCAGCCCAACAGTGACAGAACCCAAATTATAGCCCAGCCATCACTGACACCCAATCTGTAACCATTTATAAAATACCATCTCTGCTAAATTAGGGTTTCACGACTCTCTCCCATCTCAGTCTCAGCAAAATCCCCAGCCGTAGCCGCTTCACAATGGTTGCTGCAAAGAAAACTGTACTTCTCTCGCTCTGTCTTTCATCAGATCTTGATCTAGTTTTGATTTTCGTTTCACACTCAAATCTAAACCTTTATAATTCTTTTATTTCTCTGTTTCTATTTGTTTTACAGAAAAAGACTCATGAGAGCATCAATAACAGGCTCGCTCTTGTTATGAAGAGCGGAAAGTACACCCTTGGTTACAAGACCGTACTCAAAACTCTCCGTAACTCCAAAGGTTTTTATTTTTTTGAGTAATCGAAATCATTTATTTGTTATATTTGAATTTTGTAAATTTGATTTTCCTTGTTTAATGATTTTGGGGGGAATTAATGATGATAGGGAAACTGATACTGATATCGAACAACTGTCCACCACTGAGGAAATCTGAGATCGAGTACTATGCCATGCTTTCAAAAGTTGGCGTACACCACTATAATGGAAGTAAGATTTAGTTCTTAAAATCATTTTTAAGGGTTTCGTGAATTTTCCTTTGATTAATGTCGTGGATTTTCTCTCTAATGAGGAAAATATCTTTAATCCAAAGCATGCTGCATCCCTGATATTTTCTGATAGTTTGGAATAGGTACTTATAGTTGTTATAAGTTGGCTTCTCGGTAACTTTAAGGCATAGTTGATGGCCTAACTTTGTTCTGCCCAATTTGGTGCAATGGGATATAGCATCGTTTTATATCATTATAGGTAGTTTTATTATAGGAACTGATATGAGCAACAGAACATTAGTAAAGAATATCAATTTGACATTTTAAATAGACAATTTTTTAGGTTGAGGATATTTGTGTAGCGATCTTAAATCTGTGTTGTGGTGTGGTGAAATGTGCCATGTTTCTGTTGTGTGTTTGGATTGTAAGATTTAAGCTATCGGCTCTTGTGATGGTGAGATCTGATCAGTTTTACCAAGTCAAATAAATGTCTAGTTTTCAATGAAAGTTTGATAAAAAATTCCTTATACATGATTATGGATGGAAGTAATGAATTTCAAATCCTTAGCCAGATCCATTAAATTTTTTATATTCTTAGATAGATGAAATCACCCTGAATTAAGAAATGATGTATTGGTACTTTTCCGAAAATCGCTTGTCGGTATATCCGACACTTGTGGTGTCGGACTCGCGTATTCGTATCGGCGTAGCTATATACATTCAAATAATAGCTAGGCATTCTCTAGGAGAATGATTTTATTTAAATGCTATTGGTGCCAAATAAACAACCCCTTACATGCTAACTTTGGCAAATGAGGGTAGGACTTGAATATATCTTAAATCTCTTCTCCAAATTTTCTTGAACGTGTATGAACGACATTTCACAATTTAAGTTCACTTAACAAGTAAAGTTCATGCAGGTATCTTAAGGTCTGTACTTGAGATGAGAAATCATTTATTTTGTTTGAGAACTGTACTCGAGATAAGAAAACTTTTTTTTTTGCCTGGGTTGTGCTGAAGTGTCTTCTTTCATTGTTTTCTTTCTAGATAATGTTGACTTGGGAACTGCATGCGGCAAATACTTCCGTGTTTCTTGCCTAAGCATTGTTGATCCAGGTATCTCAAATTTATGTTGCTTTAGTTTTCTTCCCCATCATTTATGTCATCTTGACAATACTTTTACTTCTTTGCAATTCAGGTGACTCGGACATCATTAAGTCGTTGCCCGGTGAACACTGAGAAGATTTTTTTTTCTTTGTATCGGTCATTTTGGACTTGAAGAGTTTCCTTTTTTTCTAAATGCTAGTAGAGAACTCTCCAGGTTTTGAAAATTTAATCTATATTTTAGTTTTGGTTGTTTTCCTTGCTCTAGCGAACACGGCCTGTCAATTCACATTTCATGATGCTATAGTAGATGTGCAATTTCTTCATGGTGCTTAAGCATGATTTACATCTTGTTTTCTGTCTAATATTGAGAATCGGAATCTCACATGATATCGTTATATGCTTGGGGAATACTCCTGTGAATTAAATGAATGAATGACCAACACAAAGAATATAGGAGTAATATTAATTTTTGTTTTTGTATTTTTACAAGGACCTATGTCACCTTTTGGTATGTCGAACTAGTCTGACAGCATGTGAGAGTTCTGTCCAATAACTTGGCATGGATCAAAATTTTGGTTGCACTCATAAAAGTGAATTCTTGAGCAATTTTTGGAGTTGACGTTTGAGATTTGTTACTATACCTTTAAGATTTTTTTATTACTAAGGGCCTGTTTAGGTTGGATTAAAGTCAGATCTTAATATAAGTCAAAGTGAAACAATCAATATTAACTCATATCTTTTGTGGGTATCATATCTTTTCAACCACACAACAAAAATTAATATTACTCTTATATTAAATTTAATATTAAAAATTAATATTACTATTTAGGTTGGATTAAAGTCTGATCTTAATTTAAGTCAAAGTGAAACAATCAATATTAATCACATTTTTCGTGGGTATCACATCTTTTCAACCACACATTTCAAAATTTTTTATCACAATCTATTAAAAATTTAATTTTAATCTCCATCAAACATTCTCTAAACTTCGCAACGTGTGGGATATTACTGATTGAAATTACTTTCGTTTCGTATTTTTTATACGAAACGGATGACCGGCATCACAGCAGGCACATCAGATGTCTAATCATAAAGATGAACCATCCACATAAGAAAGGTGTATTTCATTGCTAGCTACACAAGTTGGTCCATATTTGGCCAATAGTCTTCTCAAAGTGACAATGGGATGCTATGGAAAATATGGATTTTGTTTATTTTCTATATCTAACCCCCTTGTTTGGGCTCAATTTTACCAAGAAAATGCATTTTGGAATAACAAAAAGTTGGAGAATGCATGGTTGAAAAATAAAAATTTTTTTTGAATTTGCGTGTAAAATTATTTTATTGAAAAATGTGTTGTAAAAATGAGTGTTGAAAAAATGAATTTTGTCAATAATGGGGCTAAAACGGGGCTAATGTTGTGTTATTATGTGTTTAGAAAGTTTTTTTTTCCGTCTGAACATTTTATTGAATTATTTAAGTGATGAAATATAATACAAGACGCAATTAAATCAAACTCGATCATCATTCCCTCGTGATATTTTATTTAATTGGATAATTATATTATGATTTTATTTCACTTACGATGACTTTGTCCGGACATAACTATTTGAAATATTACGCCTTTAAGTGAAATTAGAACATAAAACTTTCTAACTATTGGAAATCGACTATGAAATGTAAAAATAGAACTCAAAATTGACTCAAAATCACAAAGCAAATTAAGGATCTAAAAATAGTACATTACATTACAACACGAAAATCTTGTTCGATAGTATTCAAAATTAAAAGGGAGCTATCATTCACAAAGACAAAATGGGTGATGGTCGAATATGAAAATATATGTGGTCACTGCATACTAGAGAGATGTAAATTTCGAATAGTCTTATTTTTAAAATTGTGTTTTGAAACATTTCTAATTATGTATTTTCCCATAAAATAATATTTTTACATTTTCACATCAAAATGAACATAGTACTTAGTTCTTTTCATTTTATTTTTTCAATTAATGCTTATTGGTGTTCCCAAAGTACATTTTTGAAGTCCTAGATATTAAGATGCATTTTAGGTTGAGTTATGGTGCGACTTGTTGGATTTTCCGTTCTATCCCCCAATCAAGATTTTTCCTACTGCGTCCAAGAAAGATAAATTGAATCATCACAATTTAAAGCATGAAAACGCAATTAGATCCATTGTTTGGGGGGTTCACATTACTATTATCAAATAGAATAATTTATGGTTCGTATGATTGGACTTTAAAAAAATGAAATGCCGAGGGCTCCATTTAGAGAAAACCCAATATCGAGGTTGATCCTTATCCAGAATAGAACATAATCCTAAAAAGAAGGAAAACATTCATTTAGGAATGAGAAAATACCATAATAATTTGGATTGAATCATGATGAAATAATACATTAAATTAGAAGTTGGTTCGATAAGGTTAGTGACTTTATTTCTATTATAAGGAAGTAAATTAGTCTTTATTGAAAAATCATTTCATTAGAAGGCACAAAAAATTGTTATGAAGCAAATGGTACTGCATTGCCTAAAGTTTGACATGTATTTTTCTTATTTTACTTAAAGTTTGAAACATTACATTGTTAAAATTAATTTTTCAAAATATTTATTTTATCATAAATTTAGGATGAATTGTCCAAATACATGTTTAGTTGATAGAGCAACTATGATATTCGATGCTCCTGATAAAAGTTTTTTTTATTTTTTTTTATTTTACATTAGTAGAAAATAATATTAATACGATATCATGAGCATCGAATATCATTAAAGGCTCCAAAAAAGATTATATTATTTTATCAAATAATACAAAATTATGTATTGACGATACACTTTATTCTAATAAATCCAAAAGAAATTTGCTTAGTTTAAAGATATCCACTATAACGAATATTACAATGAAACGAATCAAACATTATCACGAATCTGAAGTTCGTTGATTCAAAAAAAATTCCACTTTGACATAATCAGTTAGATCATCACTAGATCAACAATGACGCGAAAAGATGATTTTAATAAATATTAACTTTAATCCAATAATTTCCTATTTGAAACTTGTTCTCTTTGTTGAGTTAATAATCAATCATCACTAGTTAAAGTTAGAACTAAATTTCTATATTTCTGAAAATTAATTAAGGTGATATATAAGGCACCGTTTCCCTCCACGTTGACCATCTAAATATTATTTGTACCTAATATATTTGATATATTTATTAGATGATTGCATGATGTTCATAACTCAAAGTTTGCGAAATTACTGCTCAAAATTTAGACAATGAGCATAAATTTCAAATGATACAATCAAGACGATGTGTTTTGTTAATGCTAATGAGCCTAAATCTAAATATTTTAATAAGTGTTGGTTGAGATGAAAATAAGGTCCAATTTGTCCCTTATTATTCCAAAATATTGTTTGTTGCAGTAAGATTTTTCATTACACATTTACCAAATAGAATATTCTACACACATACCAATAAAATTACTTTAAATTTCAACCACACATTCTCCAAAAAATACTATTCATTGCTCAATTTCTTCTACAATCATGAGAGACAAACACACACTAAATGATTTAACACTTAAGTGCCTCCAAATTATTTTATAAACCATTACTATGAGAACAAAGTATTTCCCATTTTTGTTTAGAGAATGCTAATAGGCATAATGCCAACATCAAAGTCTCCCTGTCATAATTAGATTTTGGTCAGAGCTTAATACTTTACATCTAATGATTTTTGAAAGTGCAATATATGTATAATTTCTCAACTGCAATGCACTGAGATGGATATTGAAGAATTCTGATGGCACAAGTTTAGTTTGAACCATTATAAAATATCTTAAACCCTAATGAGTGATATTTTACAACGCGATTTGTTGACTGTTAATTTGATTGAACTATTTTCCCAGTATTAGGTATGAATTAAAAAGTTGAAAATAATGTATATCTAAACCTTGCAAAAGACAATTCGAACCTGAAGTTCAAAAAGTAATTCATTTTAGATGTATTTGATATATCAATAACGCGTCTGAAGCATGATGATATTAGGTTCCAAGCCAAATTCCCTAAAAAGAAAAATGGAGCAAACAAGGAAGTTTGTCACATTTTATGAGGCATATATTCTTGAAAAATATATAGACATAACTAATTATAAAATCCTAGAAGTTCAAATATTTAACGAGACAGTATTTATTTTTAATACTTCAAAATAACATATTTTTTTCGTTCGTTTGATATTTCTGTCCAATTGAATTTTTGTCAAACAAGATTTTAACAAGTCAGATATTTTGTAATGCATAATTTAATTATGATTGTTGTAAATAATATGATTATTAATGAATGACACTTATACTCTTACAGTTTTATTTTTTGTTATCATTGTATTCCTAATTCTTCCATATAAATATGAGGTTTTTGTTATCAATATAATAAACATAAGTTTATCGACTTCTTTATTCTCATCTATTTTTCTTTCTATTTTATAGCAATAAACTTTTTTTTGAGTGCATTATAGTAATAACTTCTATATTTGAATAATATATCTAGATAATTACATTAATATCATAATTTTATTTATTGTATTACATTTTAATTTTACTTAAAAGTCCTTCACATGTATTCATTACAACATTTAAATCTCTCACTTTTTTCGTTGAATACTATTTTTAACCTTTCATGAGTTAACATATTTTGTCTTTGATGAAAATTGATGTCAAAATATTTTATTTATGTAATTTGGAATGAGATAAAAATATTTTATCGCACCTTTTGCATTTATTATTTTTAAGAAACACGGTGGAAAAATGCCTTTTTAAGTGCAAATGATATAATGAATAAAAATAGAGGACTTTAAGTGCAAATAAAATATTGTATATATTAGAAATTATAGCGTTGAATGTAGCTAAAAAGAGGAAGGTCAAAAAATTGCAATAATATTACAGTCAAATTCCAAAAATCTGCAGGGATGAAGGCAATGGATTCCCATATTTAATAATGACTAGAAAATACACGTCTATAAAGATATAGATACAAGATTACACCAACTCAATTTCTCAATAATCTACCTATTGAATACAAACGCATAAAGAATGTGCTATTTCTCATAATCTTCTTCATCTTGTGAAGCTTCCCTAGGGTTTCTGGAAGCGGCCCACAGTTTTTTGTTATAAACTAATCAGGTAACTCAATTTTAAATCCTCAGTTTGCTTCTTTTTTTTTTTTTTTTTTGGCTTCGTTTGCGTTATTATTATTTTTAAAATTTTTTTTTGCAGCCCAATTCAACAACCTTTTGCAAATTTTGTACCAACCCTTTCTTTGCATTTGCTCAATTGGGTGATTTACGTAGCCCCCCTTTGGCTTAATTGGTTAAAGATTTATCCTTTTTCCCCATTTTTTGCTGGTAACTAGGGTTTACTCTTGAATGAAATTGATTTATGGGTCTTGTGGCGCTTATATATCTTGTTTTTGTGCAGTAAAAAAAAGTGTTGCCGGTGAAAGGCGCATTCGGAGAGGTGGGATGAATAGTGTGTTCAACGAAGAGATACTTGCAGACAAGCTCTCAAAGCTCAATAACACCCAGCAGTGTATTGAAAGTATGTCCCTTCAATTATTTTTGCTATTTGTGATTTGAGTTTTTTTTCATTTTCGGCTGAAAAATATAGACACGCTGTGAAATTTTTATGCTCTTCTTGAAAATAAATGAAAAAGAATATTTCACATATCATTTTTTATGTGTTTTATTTATTAGCTAGTCACGTGATTTCATTAATTCACAGATTTTTTGCTTGTTTATAGAATTTGATTAGTAGAGTTTGTCATCATAAAATATTAAATAAAAACAGAGGGGGATTTTGCATCCTGCATATAGCAATGGATCTTCCTTGATGTAATTCGGTTTTTCTTTATTAGATGGTAATAGGGTTTTGATTCTATATATTCAAAGTCGCCCCTTGTTTGCTCTTGGACTAAGAGGCAATCCTTACTATGGACGCATGCCTAAATTCAGCATGTTTAGACTTGAACATAGAACCGGAATAATTTTGCTGTTAAAGATTTCTCTTTTTCTAAAGCACCATTTTCTTGTTGGTGAAGATTTGCTAATCTAAGTCTGATAATTCTTGTTTGCTTTTGCCTCTTACAATAATGTCAACAAATGTTATCATGTATTTCTTTTCAGATTTTTCAAAATATATTTCTACTTATATAGCTTAATTTGATGACTAGTTTTCTTTGTAAACTTACCATAGAGTATGTCTACTTTTTCCTTCTTTATGACCTTTACTACCCTAAGACCATTTCCGTTGAAGATATATTTTGTACACACGAATTTGATAAGACTTTCATTGTGTACGACAATTCACTGTCCTTTGTAGTGTTACTTCATTCTGAAATTGAAAAAAAGCATAAACTGAAATTTCACATGTTTCAGTACATTTTGGCAATTTTATATGAGCATGTTTGGCTGTGGTTAAAAGTTAGTGAAGTCAGTTTTGTTAGTTAAAAATAACTTTGAAAATCGTGCATGGCAAAATAAGTTACTTAAAAGTAAGTTTGACTTCTAAGCACATCCAAACATGCTCCATTATCTTGACTAGACCTAACTGCATTAGATGAGTACCCTTTTTGTGCTACCTTATACTTGCTAATCTTTCTTGATAGATATTTTTACCTTCTCTTTCTATGTAGCTTTGTCGCACTGGTGCATTTTTCACCGTGGTAAAGCAGAGCAAGTTGTTGCGACATGGGATAAACAATTCCATAGTTTGGAGATGGTTAAGAAAGTGCATCTTCTGTACCTTGCAAATGATATCCTGCAGAACAGCAAGCGTAACGGAAATGAATTTGTCTCCGAATTTTGGAAGGTTCTTCCTTCAGCACTCAAGGAGGTTATGAAGAATGGGGATGATCGTGGACAGAAGGCCGTCTCAAGATTGGTGAGGAATTTTCCTTGCCCTTTTCTTCCATTAGTGTCTCCAATCATTTTTCATAGATTGTTTGGAAGAGCTTTTATTAAACTGTTCAAATCCAGATTATTACATCATATTTTGCCCCATGTTGGAATTATCAATTTCAACAACTATAGGTGAGCACCATATCAGTTGGTTGGAGTGGCTTGACTAATATGAAAATCTTATTATTAGGTCAATATATGGGAAGAAAGGAAAGTATTTGGATCCCGTGCTCAGAGCCTTAAAGATGTAATGCTTGGAGAAGAATTACCCCCACCATTGGAGTTTGGGAAGAAACGTTCTCGTTCTATCAGAATAAAGAGAGACTCTAGATCTATCAGAACGGTGAGGTTAACTATTCCGTGCATGTTTGGTGTGCAGTATGCAACCATATAGTGAACAAGATTTTACGTTCTTTTCTTCCTTAGTACTGTCTTGTGCTAATCCTCCCAACCAAACATGTCATTAATGCTTTATGTAGTGCTAACTCTATAGATATTTGATCCTGTATTATGCCTATCCTTTACCAACATTTTTGGATACTTATTCTGCATGTGTTGCTTTTGAAAACAGAAATTAACCATTGGTAGCACTGAAGAAAAAATTGTGTCAGCTTTTAACTTGGTGCTCAGCGAACATCCCGTTGAAGATGAAGAAATGAATAAGTGCAAGTCTGCCATCCAACGTGTGAGAAAGATAGGAAAAGATGTCAATGTTGCCTTAACAAAAGGTAGGCTGGTAATTCTATAAAATTTACCATTTCTGTGTAGGTTGGAATTGGTTTTTCATTTTGGAACTATAGGCAACGCTACCAGTAAACCCCTTAAAAAAAGCTCCGACTTTTTTAAGTGCCATTAAAGATTATATGAGCATGTTTGGATAAGTCTAAAAATGAAAAAATACTTAGAAGTAACTTTTAAACTTATCCAAATATGCTCTCTTCAGCAATCTTCTTCTTGCCTGATTTATTCATGGTTTGTAATGTGATGCTCTTAATTTTTTGTTAACAAAAAATTGCATCTTCCTTCTGTAGCCAAGGATCCAACGCGGAGGACCTTAGCTAAGGATCTAGAGCAGGAAGAACTTGTTTTGAATCAGTGCATTAAGAAACTTAAAGTTGTCGAAGCAAATAGAGTGATCCTTGTGTCACAATTACGAGAAACACTTCATGAGCAGGTATGAGATCATTTATTTACAAATATTACTTACTCTTTTGTATACTTGAAAAATTTGATGACCTTGATTGACGTGAAATTTCTTGTGGTTACCTGTATGATTGTTTAGGAGTCAGAGCTAGAGAATGTTCGGACACAAATGCAGGTTTGTACCTTGATTATTGCATTTTCATATTGAAGAAGTTCATGTCTATTCCATGATGCCATCTGCCTTTATTTTCCTGTGCTTTCTTGAAAGTAGCTGGCTGCTAAAAAGAGGTGCATCTTTAACTTTTATAAGAATTTATGGGTACACGTTGAATTCCTTTATCCTTGTGGAAACAAAATACATTCATTCTGAAGGAAGAGATATCACTTATTAGATGATTGAGATTCATGATAATACTCCTCAATGAGCAACTGGCAGTTTACTGGAGCTTTTGAGTAGAGATGTGGCAATTGTGAACTCTCATGAGAATCGAGGCCTTCTATCTCATCATATGGTTGCAATTTATGATCAATATTGACGAGAAGGAAAAGATCATCGTGTCCCTTTGAAACTTTATGGCGATCTTGGACTGGAATGTAGTCAATTAAAATTTTCATCAGGAATGACTAATTGATCAGCTTTAAATTATGCTAACATCTATGTATTTAATCAATTTTCAGGTAGCACAGGGACAGGCAGAAGAAGCTGCAAATATGCGGAAACGTTTGAATGATGACCACGTGATAGATTCAAAAGCATCTATGGCATCGGCAGATACTAATACAAAAGCAGCACAAACAACAAAAAAAACTGCTTCGGCTATTGCAGCTGAGGTCGCAGACAAGCTAGCTGCTTCGAGCTCGTCCCAGTACATTATGACCTCTGTCCTTTCTACATTTGCGGCTGAAGAAGCCAAAAATGCTGGGCTTATGAAGTCTGCAACATCCTCAACTTCTTTCTCATCAGTTTCCAATCCTCCAATGTCCAACCCTGTTTCTGATCAGACTGTTTTCATACCGGCACAACAACCTAATCCTCCACAAAACAACCAATATCAATCACATATGGTGCCCCAGCCATCAATCCAAGGTCAAATTTCCAACTCTCAATCTATGTATTATTCACTTCCTCAGCCACCTCAGCAGTATTTGCAGTCATCGGGTGGAATTGTGGCCCCGTATGATTATGGTGGTCTTCCTCCCCTGCCACCCGGGCCACCTCCACCCCCACCTCCATCTTACATGATGAACCCAGTGGTTCCTTTTACCCAGCAGCCACCTCAGATGACTCACCAGCAACCACTAGTGATGGGCAATCAGCCATCAACATTAGCTCAGCAGCAAATAGGACCTGTACCTCAACAACCGCATGCAACACCTAGTTCTCATCCTCTTCCCCCATTTCAAGCCCCTGGAATGCCGTATTATGGTCACCCTTATCAATCGCACTGAGATTAGTCCAGTCTTTTGTTTGTGAAAATTGCAGGTTGAGTAGACACAGAGGTTATTAACTATACAGGTAGGCAATTGAAAATCAACTGGTAGTGCTGGTTATGAATAGCTATTTGTCTATCTTTAGAGCTAGTTCAGGCTTCCCTCCTCTACCCCTCATCATCGTTATCTGCTGAAAATTTTTCATGTGATAAAATTTTGTATTGCTTTTCAAATCATGTAAAAGATTAGTTTTTCTGATGAAGGTTTAGATATGGTTGCTCAAAAGGTTTTATAATTTCTCACTGCAGTTTCATAACTGGTTTTAGACCTTTGTAGGTCATATGTAGGGTTTTCAAATTTGCAGATTCTTTCAATGTTTTAGAGCTCCGCACTCTGGCGCTCCTATGCACAACAGTTCTAATTTATTTTTGCTATACATCCGCAATGACTGAATAATCGTCAGTCGTTATCCATAATGCTAAGAAGTAACATCCAACGACCATGTGGACAACATTGTGTTAAAAACATGAAATTTATTTATATTACTAATTTTATGAAAGTCATAATATAAAATAATTATGCTACATTAACATCTTGAATGACATTGTGGACGACAGAAACGTCACGTGACAAGGTTTCATCGGACCATTTAAAAAACAATCAACAATGTTACAAACAGTGTTTACTATTGTTACACTGCCACCGTAGACCATCGTCAACCACTAATAACATTCTTTGTGTTACACTACTAGTGCTGGTCTCACTAGTAATATTTATCGTTCTGCCATATCGCTATTGCTGCTAAAGCCGCCACCACTTGTACCACCGTGTTACGCCACCCGCCACCATTTCCATCGCGTGCAGCACTCCACCATCTTTACACTGCCAGTAGCCACCCCCACCAGATCTGAAATCACAAAAATCACCACCACAAACAACCACCTCCACAAACCGCTATCACCACCATCAACACCACCCAATATCACCACTGGTAGAACCACCACAAAATGCCACTCTCATTGTGAGCCCATCTCATAACCACCACCAACACAAACATTATATAAGTCACCATAAAAAACCCTCTAAAAATTCAATAAATCTAGAAAACATTTCAAAAAAATCAAATTTGGGGCAATGTCAATATCGAGGTGACGCAGTTTAGGGATTTAATTTACACTGGTGGAGCAACAAGAAGGAAATGAGACTAATCCAATGCACTGGGTTCATTCATGTACACGACTGTATATACTAGGCTAGATGTAGCTCATGCAATAACCACACTAAGCAGGTATGGCTAATCCACGTCTTGAGCACTAGGAAACATTAAATTGGTTGTTAAGATGTCGTAAAGGAACTTCTTACCATGTGGCAAACAACTAGCAAATAAAATGAGGCCCGCACTTCACATCACTATCCCACTTGTCTAGTGAGGTCATAGTTGAGGTAGTCGAACTGATACATCATCTCAACCAAGGTACCATATAGAGATCGACTCTCCATTATCTAGGCGAAGTTCTATAATCCACTGTAGAGTAAATTCGAGACAATTAGTCTATTAATGAGAGAAGATATCTCCCACTTTACCTATTTCAAGAGTTCTTTCGTTCAAGATCTTTTGATTGATTAATGTAACATCTTTGTAGCATGCGTCTCATGATTAACTTGTCAGACCTAGACTATAGGGTGACACTACTTTTCAGAAATATTAAACTTCCCCGAACCTAGGATTGATGTAGTGATACCTATGAGAAGACGTCTCGGCTATCAGGATGAGGTCATACGTCTTTTCATCCAACGATAGTTATTACTCATATTAGGGCTGTAAGCAAAGATCGCCAAACCGGAAAATCGAACCGAAACCGCATTTTAGAAACTATCGGTTTGGTGCCAGTGGACCCGTCAACGAAATAGTTTTGAACCGAACCAAACCAAACCGGTAAAAAAGGGTTTGGTTTAGGTTTGAAAATTTTAATTGCGGTTTAAAACCAAATCAGACCGGCGAAAAAATATATAAAAATAAAAAAATGAAAATTTCTAAAAAATCCAAATATGTAAAATTCAATAGTTTTGTCATGTGTGGATATTTTTGTCAATTTCTAATTTTNTTCTTCTTCAGAATTCAAATTTCTACAGTTGCTTCTGAGTCTGCATTCTCAACTGGAGGTCGGATACTTGATTCCTTTAGGAGTTTATTAGGTGCAATGATGGTTGAGGTTTGTTTATGCGGAAACAATTGGTTGCAAATTAAGAATGAACCTATAGTGCTGCGCCAATATTTAGATGAAGTGGAAGTATTTGATGATTCAATGAAAGTTGTGGTAGGTGGTTTATATTTTCTATTACCATATTTTTAAATATTATCTTATCTATCTAGTATCCAATACTATAATGATGTAACGAATGCATTTGTTTGACAATGGAGACTACGACTCAAGTGTGACAACAATTGATGTTTGAGTATATGTGATAAACTGAGTTCGTAACAATATACAACGGTAAGCTTGTGTAATTGTTATGTTTAGATATTATAAAAAATTGATTTTTTATTATGGTTGGTTATTCTATCTATCTAATAAGTAGTTTTGTTTTTCAGATATGATGATCACGGGGTCTTGTTGAACATTATTATATTTTTTGGACTTTATATTTAGTTTAGTAGACTTGTATTGTAACGTTATCGTAACGTCTTAGCCTAAAATGGCAAACAAAAAACTATATTTTAGTTTATTGTGATTTCCCTTTGATTTAGTTGGTATTTAAATTTATAATAGATATATTTAATTTGTTTTAGATTTATTGCTAGTAAGATATAAATATATATTGAATTCAATGAACTAATGTCATAAAAGTAGACATGAAAAAAAAAAATACGGCGAAACCGGCGGTTTAAAATCGGACCAAACTGTTAGATTTAGGTTTGAGTTTTTTTCAAACCGTTCAAAATGATTTGGTTTAGGTTGTGATTTTTCTCAAACCGATTTAAACTGTTTGATTTGAAAATTTTTCAAAAATCGGTAAAATCGAACCGCTTACACCCCTAACTCATATTCTACTATAAAAGCTCACAATTAGTATCATTTGAAAGTAATGCAATTTTACACTCTCAATAGTAATATTGCTATCTCATTTTACTCTCATATAGCCCCGGTACCCTAATACTATTGTGATTCACGTCTTCCATACATCCCACACTCAAATATACTATACAAGTTGATTGACTTGATCGTTGAAGTGCTTACACCTGTCTTCTCCACCTCTGGAGAAGGCCATGTACTTCAAACGATTAGTCCAAGTGTGTAGAGATAAGCTACGTGAATGGAGCCGAATCTGTTAGTCACATCATCCGTGCAGGAACTTAGGTCAATAGTGCCCTTTCAATTTAACCCAAGCAGATATGGATGCTAAGGTACTACCTCCAAACACGGTCACTTCTTGTTTATAAAGTTGAACATTAATTCTGGGTAACTTTTCTTTTGTGGATGAAAACTCGGTTCTAAAGGGCAGGACTTGGAAGCTATCCTATAAGTTTTGCTAGATTTGTTACACTAAGAGTATGTTTGATTGACTTTATTTTTAATGAGAAAAAAAAAAGACTTTTCCATCCAAATTCTTACTTTTGAGGTATCTGATTAACATTTTTTTCAAGAAAAATATTTTTTAAAAGTTGGTCACGTGACCACATTTTCCTCAAAAACAAGGAAAACATTTTCTTTATAGAGGTATGTTTTTATTTTTTAAGTTGAAAATTAAGTCAGTTAAACACATTTAATTGATACTTTCTATGTAAATAAGTTTTAAACAATTGAATTGTCTATAACTTTATTTCTTTTCATATAAATTTCATGCTTGCAACCGAACATACCTTAAGTTCTCTGATATCAATGTGAAAATACGTAGGACTATGATATCAATAGAAACTTTGGTGCTTTCTTAGATCAGGGAGAACCGGAGAAGATATACGGTGCCAACAATGGTTTTGTAAGGTAATGTGTTGTCCTAAAGTACAAAATTAACTTATAATTATAAAGTTTACCTATAAGTAAAAAATACTAATTTAAAAGTTTAATTAAATATTTAACTTTTAAGTTACATGTTAATTTATATGTAAAATGTTCACCTATAAGTAAAATATCACTTGTGAGTAAAAAAAATTATACAAGAAATTATAAACTGAAAATTTCACTAACATATATATATGTAATCTTATTCTTTTTTTAAAAAAAATTCAGAACTAGCGAATAATAAATTCTCAAGCATAGATTGGACTATTTTAAAAATTGCTATTAAAATAATTCAAAATCAGTCCGCTCATAAACACTCAAAATCGATAGCTTAAAAAACGCTTATAACCAATATCATGAAACTCCCAAGCAGTTCCTTAGTATGTAAGAGAAGATGCCAAAGGTGGATGAAGTATTCCTTATTTTCATTGCAGAATTGCAAGCGAATTTTAGGTCAATATTTCACCACCGTCTATATATATTGATGATGGATTTCCCTTCTTTTAGTATGTGAATTGAAAGTTTTTGAAATTTATCTTTACTTTTGAAATCTATCTTTATCGTGTCCTTTTTAGTGTTTCAGGGAAGATGCTATATGTGGCTGAAATATTCCTTATTTTCATTGCCAAATTGCAGTAAATTAATTAGTATGTTATTTCTAAAATATTTAGATGATCGATATAATGAAAGTAGTACTTCCATATTAATTATTTTATTATACACACACACACGGAATTGATATTTATTTTATGCTAAGCACTAGATGACATGGTATACTACAATAGGTGGTGTATCTGTTTTGCAACTAGCCATTATCTCACACTACCTATTATAGTATGCAATATCATTTGAGTGTTTAGCATAAGTTAAGTACCGGTACTTATAGAATCAGTCATACACACACACTTCGATTTCAAATCAATAAAGCATGGTTGGGGGATTCACAACCCAAGCCATCGGGTCAAAGTTGAGGCCTAAAAATCCTACTTAAGCTTTGATGTTGTTTCTGAATTTTAG